AGATGTTCCTCGAGACCATAGTCCCCACAGCCCTCTGCCCAGCAATTCAGTCCCTCAGGGAGTTTGGATGTGTCTGTGGAGCTTCCATGACCTTTCCTTGTACAAGTTGTGCTGGCTTGATGACAATTTTTTTATTTTAAAAGATCTAAAAAAACAGTAAGAGAAATTGCTCTTGAATTTAATTATAACCAAACTGGGCAGAACTGATCGAACCTTTAAAAACAATGATCTTGTCATCAAAGAGTTTGTAATAGCCAAGTAAGAGAATTCTGAATGTAGATATTTATCCTAAACTTTATGAAGTAGGCTTCAGAAACTGTTTACATAAAAGAGAGAGAGCTCGAGATCTTTAAAGGAAAGGAAGCACTTGATCTGTGAGTCAAATTAAAATTCTGACTGTAGAAATGAGAGAAATACCAATAAATACAGGATGCTTTCTGACTAACTTCGGTTTTAAAAGACTGTGTTCTAAAACTGGGAGAAAGGCCATTTAGTCATGGGCGTTAACAGAAAAGCGGTAGAAGTAAAAATGGAAAGTTAAGCCCAATTCTGACAAGTCTGCAAACAATGCAGAAAGCACCACCAAACCCAAAAAACCAAACCCGTTGCCGTCGAGTCCATTCCAACTCATAGTGACCCTATAGGACAGAGTAGAACTGCCCCATAGGATTTCCAAGGAGTGGCTGGTGGATTCGAACTGCCAGCCTTTTGGTTAGCAGCCAAGTTCTTAACCACTGCACCACCAGGGCTCCAGAAAGTACCACAGGAAGGATTTTTTTCTTAATGTTCATAGGGACAAGAGTAGAAGAAGGCTTAAGCACTGTTTTAGACAGATGATGTGTTTTTAAAGGATGAGAAAATAGAATTATTTGACTGTCTCTTCTGTCAAGGAGAATTCTTTTGAAACTAGAGAAGGCAGAAAATAAATTACAGATGGATTAAAGAGTTAAATATTTAAGAAGTCAAAACATAGACCAACCAGAAAAGGGCAGGTGGCCTTGGACTCAGAAGAGCTGGGTTTGGAACTTATCTCTGCTGTTTACTGGGTCCTTCAGTTTATTTGCTTTGCTGGAAAATGGGAATAATATCTGCCTGGCATATAGTAGGTACTGAGTCTGTTATTTGAATGGATACCTTCCTCTTAGAGTTATGAAACTCAAATGAGATGAGATAACTTGTGTTTTGTGAACCAACCAAAAGAAAAACCCAAACCCGTTACCGTGGAGTAGATTCCGACTCAGCCACCCTATAGGACAGAGCAGAACTGCCCCATAGGGTTTCCAAGGAATGACTGGTGGATTCAAACTGCTGACCTTTTGGTGAGTAGCTGAGCTCTTAACCACAGCACCACCAGGGCTTCTTTGTAAACTAAAGCAAAAGGAAAATAATACTCATATCTGACATTTATTTACCACTGTGTATCAGCCGTAGTGGCATAGTGGTTAAGAGCTCAGCTGCTCACCAAAAGGTTGGCAGTTTGAATCCATCAGCCGCTCCTTGGAAACTCTGTGGGGCAGTTCTTCTCTGTCCTATAGGGTCGCCATGAGTTGGAATCGACTCAACAGCAACGAGTTTAGGGTTTTTTTTGTGTGTGTATCAGCCATGGTGCTTAAGCATATGTTAATTTTCTTTCTTAATTCCCACAACAGCTCTCTGAAGGTAGGTACTATTACTGTCCCCATTTTGCAGATGAGGTAACAGGCAAATGAAGTTGAGTAACTTGCCTAAGATCACACAATAAATAGGTTTATGGAGCCAGAAGTTAATCTTTGTCTATTTCCAGAACTCATGTTCTTAACCACATACAAATGATTTATTGACAAAGGATGAGAATTCAAGTAGACTGAGGGAAAAGAGAACTGATATTTGTTGAGCTACCCTGCTTGTTGCCAGGAACCTTTCAAACTTTATCGTATTTAACCCTCACAAAATCACATGATAAAAATTGTTTCCACATCTCCAAAAGAAAGATATTAAGGCTCAGAGTGGTTTAATAAATTCTCCAGAGTCAAACCCTAAGATAAGAAGGGTCTGGAATTTGAGCTCACATTTTTGTCTGACTCCAAAGTCTGTATTTCCTCTACTGTGCGATGCTGCCTCTCCAGAGGAAGTCAGATTTTAAAAAGGGCAGCTGGTGGATGTTTACCTTTGCTAATGGTATAAAAATGCAACTTATGGTTATTGAGATACTATTTCACATTTAATTTGTAATTGTTTATTAAAATGGTAATATCTAGTGTTTGTGGAATTACAGATTGGTGGTGGCAATATAAAGTATTATGTATAGCTTCTTTGGAAAGCATTTTGGTAGAAATTATCAAGAGTCTTAAATCTCCTTAGGAGATAATTTTTTTTTTAAAAACTTATGTGTGCCCAGATTTTTAAAATAACATCATGTAATAGCATGCCATGGAACTTTGTCCTTTTCAGCGTTTAATCACGTACTGCTTCAGTGAACATAATGAAGGCATCCTTAGCATAGTTCCAGGTGATTCAGCGCTGAGAAGGATGGTGGAATGAGGCTGACAAATTTCTTCTACCATCATAGAGTTTGCTGGGTTTCAGTCCTCCTCAGCCCGTTGTGCAGTGGTCAGTGTTCAAACAGAAAGAGTTGTCAACAGAAATGAAATTGAGTAGCAGCCTGGACTGAATCGCTGGAGATAGCTCCCTTTCCCTGGAACCCATGTTCTTGATTACCAACAACCATTGAAATCAATCTGGTTTAAGGTTTTTATCATTCATGTTTTATTTCTCTGTCACTTTTTCCTTTCCTTTTATCAAAAAATGATAATTTTTGGTCTACAGTTTATAGTTTTTCTTAACTTCATTTTCTTTTTCACTGCCTAAAGATCTAACTGCAAACACTTCATGTTTTATTGGCTGGCGCAATTAATTTCCACCTTTGAAGAGTTCATATCAGTAACATTGTTAGTCCAGCAGCAGCTACTGAGTGTCTCTTTGTTGTCTGCTTCATGAGTAGACTAGCTCCACATGCAGTTGCTTACCTCTGGGGCATGAAGACTTTCTCCTGTCTTGGTCATACCTTATGGACCAAAATATTTTCCAGAGCCCTAAGTATTATGGTTGAAGTTCCTTTTGTACCGACTGGCAGGAGGGGTGCACTTTAAAGAAATAAACTTTTAATGCCTACAATTCAGTGAATTTTTCTTTAAACATTTGTTTTGGATCTGCATTTTGTACTTTGTTGCTTCTCATTTTTGTTTTAAGTGATTGTTTAACAAACTCCCTCTCTTCTGTGCTTAATATCTTAAGTGGATGATAAAGTATTCAGCTTTTAGGAAGGAGGTTTGATCTCTAAAAGTGCAGGAATCTGGAAAAGTTACTAATCTGCACAGGCATTGTCCATTGTATATTCTTTGGAACGCTAGTCCTGTAAGATTTTCCCTACTGCAAACCATATCTGTTTCTTGAACAGTCATGACTGAAGTATGTGTTAAAGGTCTGAGAAGCTCTGCAGAAAAGAAGGTTGTTAAACTTTATTATTTCAGTATTTCCAAAAGTTACTTAATAATGGAACCACTTTTTTTTTGTTTTTAACACTTTGACATTCTATAGAATACTTAAAATATAATAGGGAAATAACATCCTAGAGAAATTATTTTAGTGGTCTGGGGGTAACCCTGGAGGGTTCCATCCAGAATAAAGGCTATGAGCTTTGTCTTGAAAGTTGAGTCTAGTGCAGGGGTCAGCAAGCTTTTTCTGTAGGCCAAGATAGTAAATATCTTCAGCTTTGTGGGCCATACAGTCTTTGTCTCATCTATTCCACCCTTCCATTGTAGTGTGAAAGCAGCCATAGACAATACTTAACGTGAGTGAGCATAGCATGACTGTGTTCCAAGAAAACTTTATACAAACAAGCTACAGACCTGCAGTGTGCTGACCCCTCGTCTAGTGGGTATACCCTCCTTCAAAGGAGGTCAAATGTAGATGGAAAACATTTTATGATCCTCTTTTGCCTACTTTGGAAACCCTGGTGGCATAGTGGTTAAAAACTACAGCTGCTAACCAAAAGGTCAGCAGTTTAAATGCACCATGCACTCCTTGGAAACCCTATGGCGCAGTTCTTTTCTGTCCTATAGGGTCGCTATGAGTTGAAATCGACTCAACAGCAACAGGTTTTTGGTTTTTTTCCGCCTACTTCAGGCATTTAGAATGGTAGTTCTTTTACTTTAGGCTGAAGTATTGAAAGGATTGAGATTTGTTGTAAGGTTGATGCCTAATTCCTCATATGATAATTTATCCTCAGGGCTTACATTTAAAAACTATACTAGGGATTTTTTTAGGGTTTAATCTGGGATTAGCTTTCAATCTTCCAGTCTGTGACCATAACACATTGGAGGAAAATAAAACTAATTATGGTATGTGGTTTTGTCTTTTGTAAAATTTTTGTGAATAGCTAGGCAGTATCCATTTCATCTCAGTGATTTGATTTGTGATTCTATTGTTATTAAAATGTCTGACATGTTTTGTTGATTAGAGGAAGTTCTTTTGACAAAGTAGAATAAAAGTATATTTCATGTGTGTAACAATTATGTATGAAACTATATATCAATAGAATTGAAAATGTTTATATCGTTTCTCTGGTAACTTCTACTTTGAGGACTTTATTATTATAAGGAAACAATCAAATTTGGAAAAAACCAAAGATGCTTATTACAGTATTATTTATAATACTGAAAATTTAGGAATAACTATATATCCACCAATAAAGGAATGGCTACATACTTTATACCCTATTTGGTGGAATTTATGTAACTATTTATAGTAATATTTATTAAAGTTAATATTAACCTGATAGATTACAAATATTACCACTCTTACAGAAAATTTAAAGACAATAATTAAAACCTGTGTGTTGTAAGAAGTACAGAAGTGATTGCATAACTATGATAAGACAGCACTACTTTTTTATAGTGATGAGACTTTGGCAAATTTAAATTTTTTTCTACATTTCTCAAGTTTATTCTACTAAACATGTATTTTTTTATGAGGATAAAATCTTTTTCTTTTTTTTAAAGCAAACTCTACATAAGTTTGACCTAATAGCAATTTCTGTAAAATATTTATTTCAGAGAGTAGCAGATCGACTCTATGGTGTATATAAAGTACATGGGAATTATGGACGAGTTTTCAGGTAAGCATTATGCAAACTTTTAAAGTAAACATGGTTAATTCTAATTAGTTTTTTGCCTGAAAACAATAGTTCTTGAAAATTTATGAGTCTGGAGAGTAGAAGATTATTTTTTAAAATGATACCCTATAGTAGTAGTTTTCAAACTTTGAAGCCTTTGAGGGCCCCCCCCCACTTTTTTTTAAGTAAAAACTTGTGAGGAAGTCCAACATATTGAGCAGATAAAAGTGAAACTCCTCTGATTGAAGCAGGGAGTGGGGCCTTTTACCTCTCCTTCCTTGGCGAGATGCCTAAGAAATTTCCATTGGAAATAACCGTCTTACAGAATTACTGACTTTCTTTTCATTCTTTACTTTGTCATTTTATAATTTCTGAAGGTGATTTTGGCTGTGACTTTTTAAAAGTTAATATCCAGATGTTTTTCTAAGAAAAATGTCCTTGCTAATATTCCATTTTAAGTCCTTTTGATTGACTTAATTTTAAAATATGACTCATTTCATGCTTTTGAATAGGTAATACATTTATATGGCACAAAATTCAAAATGAACAAAAGTTTGTACAGTGAAAAGTCTCTTCACCCTTCTCTGTCAACCACCCAGGCGGTCTCTTCTGAGACAACTTGTATCAGTTTCTTACGCGTCCTTCCAGTGATATGTAACACTGTAAACATATTAACATGCAAGCAAATACATTTTTCTTTTTAAACACAGAAAAGAGAGCATGTTGTAAACATTGCTTTTTTCTGTTAAGGACCACTTTTCAAGATATATTGTTACCAGTAAGTAATTGTATTGAGTTTTATTGAGCAGGATCATCCTAATTTATTTAATCAGACTCTTCTTGATAATTGTTTCCAGTTTTTTACTGTTGCGTTCAATGCAGTAAATACTCTCATACATGTCATTTCACACATGTATGAGTAAAAATGTAGGATGAAATTCTAGAAGTGAAATTACTGGGCCTCAGGATGGTTGCGTTTGTAGTTTTGATTGATATTGCCAGATCACCCTGTATGGACGTTGTGAAACTCCCGTGACAAAGGATGAGTGCCTGTGCCCTCACACACTTGCCCGAACACCATGTTACTGTCTGATGATGAAACGTGGTTTCTCTCCTCTGTAGTTGCTCATTTGTGTTTCTCTAATTATAAATGAAGTCAAACGGCTTTTCCTATGCTTAAGAGCCTTTTTTTTTTCTCCCTATTCCATGAGCTGTCTGTATATATCTTTTGCCCTTTTTTCCTGTTGGGCTGATAGCGTTGTTTCTTATTGATCTGCAGGAGTTCTTTATATTAGGAAATTTAAGCCTTTGTAAAATGAATTTTTTTTCCCTAATTTGTTATATGTCTTGACTTTTCTTATGGTGGCTTTTAACATGCAGAAATATTCCATTCATTAAATTGAACTACATACAGATGATTAATTTTTCTCTTTTTTAAACAAATGACTGCTGGTTTTTGTGTATATTTTAATAAATCCTTCCCCAGTTTAGATTATTAAAATTTTTTTTTCTCATTCTGTATTTTTATGGGTCCATTAAGTTTTGATTCACCTAGAATTTATTTAATGTAAGGTGTGAGGCATGGATCTAAATTTATTTAATTCATTTAGAGGAACAGGTTATCTGTACGTTCTTGGTTGATCAGTACATTAAAATTAAATGCAGCTTGGGACAACATCAGGATTATGTGGCAATTTTTAATGAGGAGAAGAGGATTCTTGATATTTAAAAAATACAAACTCTTCATAAGTAGGACAGGAATATCTAACAATACTCTAAGGATAAAAGAGCCCAAGTGCCTGCCTGCTACAGATAAAAACCAAACCTTCTCCAGCTTGGCTTTCCACAACGGCCAAGCATAAAGGAATAGTATGAAGGAATAGTATAATGGAAAGAAACGCACACAATATTAAACCCTTTGACATCCACTGCATGATGTTTGAGACTTGACTCATGTCAGTCAACCTTGATTTTTAGAACATTATCTTAAGTAGAACTCTCATTAGGTTTGGGAACAGTGCTCATTTAAAAATTGACATAAACACTCCCAAGGGTAGATGTTTGTAGTAATTGACAGACGGGCTTGCATTAATTTAAGAGGCAAGTAGATAAAAGGTCAGTTGGTTGACTTAAATTTTAAAGAAGATCATTTGTGTTGTCATGTAAATACTGTATAGATTTATCTTTACCAACTCAATAAATGAATAGAAAACCATTTTACATCTAAAATATTTCGTGAAGCTTGGGCCAGCAAGACCAGAGGTAGTTGAGGTAATTTAAACAAGTAATCAAGAATCTGAACCAGAGCAGTTGCCAGTGGGGAATATTAAGGAGGCATAAATGGTAGGACTTACCAATGGATTCTTTCAGTCATTCAGACAACACTTACTGAGCTCCTGTTGTGATGTAGATAACTAAGAATACCAAGCAAGATTCATGTTACGGGCAGCTAATTAGGAGGATGGAAACCCTGGTGGCATAGTGGTTAAGAGTTTGGCAGCTAACCGAAAGGTCAGCAGTTCGAATCCACCAGGCCCTCCTTGGAAACCCTGTAGGGCAGTTCTGCTCTGTCCTATAGGGTTGCTAGGAGTCAGAATCGACTGGACGGCAACGAGTTTTTTTTTTTTTTTTGGTTTAATTAGGAGGATTGTGATAGAGAATATAGGAGAAATAGCAGGTTTGAGGGATGAGTTAGAGGGTTCTGTTCTGGTTAGATTGCATCTGAATTAAAGATTTCTATTAAGCAATTGGCACTTTGGATCAGAAATGTGAGAGGCTGGTGAGAGTATGAGCTGCATATACAAGGTTTATCCTGCTAGGGTGATTTTTGAAAAGTACAGAATTGGGTGATAATGTTCAGGGTTAGAATAAGTCTACAAGAGACTTGAGGACCAAACCTTTGGGAATACCTATGCTCAAGGGGTTAGATAGCAGAGAAGATAGAGGGTTTGGGAAGGTACAGAGCTGTCTGAAATCAGAGGAGAAGGTATAGGAGGCAACTTTAGCTGGCCTCTGTCTTAGGGAAGTAGGTGTCTCTGCTGAAAACAAGTTGGGTAACTGTGTGGTTGAGGGGCTTGAGGGAAGCGACATAGGGCAGTCTCTCTCAAACTAATGCAGTGGAAAATCCTTAAATTTGTCCTGCGCACGCTCCTTTACCTCCCACTGCTACCCCACAATTGCCGGAAGCAGCTGTGGCAAGTATAAAATCTCTTTGAAAGCTTGAGTTCTACCAGTTCATGCAAAATTTGCACTTTATTCCATAGACTATCCATAGCTCTCTCTCTCTATATATATATATGTAATAAAAGAGTTTTTCTCCCCTCAGATGTTAGAGTTGATTTTTCAGAACAGCTGTGCTATGTCTATAAATCTTATGGCTGCCAACATCCATGAGGAAATATCCCAGTTTGGAACACACAGATGAGGACGTCAGAGGATTGCTGAGCAGTGCCAGTTGTGGGGGGTGTTTTTATCTTTTGAATGCCACTGACCCATAAGAATAATAAAAAAAGGAAAGTTCCGGGCCACATAATCGGGAAAAAAAATCTTAATTTTTTTTTTTTTTTTTTTTTGGTTTGATATTTGAGAGGGGAAGAAATATAAAGCTAGTTTCAGAAGCTTTGTTTCCTAATTTAAATGTTTTCAATATATGCCTCAGATAATTCTTTTAAATTACAGCTAGTTGCTAAATTGGAGGTTAGAGAGAATAGACTAAGGAAAAGAGACTGAGCTGTGAGTTGAAAGGGACTGTCAGAAGTAGGGAAGAGAGATGAAGAGGCATAAAGTTACGTAAGTAAGGAATGAGCAAGAATTAGACTCAGTGAAGAAACAGGGAAGATTTTCTAATATGTTTGTGTCATGTATTGCTGTTGATGTTCGTTTTCTTTTCTTTATTGAGGGGAGGAGTTCATTTTGTGCTCTTGCAGAGTTCCTGGGCTTTATGAAGCCTCTCCCACCTGCCCCCACCCCAGCGCTTGACCTGCTTTGGGGCAGCCTAAGGGCCGTTCCCCACGGGGGCTTATGGGTCTTGTCTCTTTTCACCAGTTTCACGCTCAGCTAGGAACACTGACTCCATGCGTGGGGTTCACGCCGCAAAAGACAGAAAAAAAGGGAAAAGAGTTTTAGTTGCAGTAACCGCATCTGCAACTGATGAAAGTTGATAGGAGCTAATAGCCTGAATGTTGTAATATTATGTTAATAGAACATTTTTAAATACGCGCTTTAATTCACATTAAATTGTGAATTCATATGAAAGCAACCATCTCTCTCAAATTCAGTGGTACAGTTCCTTTCAAGGGATTCTAAGAAAACTCCACAGATTTCTTTCAAAAAGCCATGTGCAAAGGCAGATGATCAGGGATACACAAAACTCAATGTGGCAGACATGATGTGTAATCTCAGAGCTCAGAGGTACAAGGATTGATTTTGTTTAATGATGCTGTGCTTTATTGTTTTGTCATATGCATGATAAGTGGAGGGAAGGGCTCTTTTAACTAAGAGGCAAAAATAAAGGAGAAAAAAGAGAAGGAAATGAAATTAATCTCTGAAATTAATCAGTTAGGATTAGTAGATAAAGCACTCTGTATCTAGTCTCAGCTCTCTCTCTGATCAGCTGCCTGACTTTGAATAAACCAAAGATCTCTGAGCTTGATTTTATGTATCAATTCGGTAGAGGGGTTAAATGAGGACAGTGATTTCTAAATCCTGTCTTAGCATGGAACTTCATGTTGGAAGGAATTCTTATACAGAGTATAAACAAACCTATTACCACAGAAATGCTTGAGGCTGGAGACGCTCCCTCTCATGCCTCTGTCCTTGATGAGCACCATATTGGATGACTAAATGTAACTCTTCCCGTTGCTGTTGAGTCAATTCCGATTCATGGAGACCCCATGTGTCCTGGAGTAAGTGCTCCATAGGGTTTTCTTGGCTGTAAACTTTATGGAAGCAGATTGCCAGGCCTTTCTTCCGTAGTGCTGCTGAGTGGATTCGAACCACCAACTGTTAGTAGTTGAGTGCAAACCAGCTGTGCCACCCAGAGACCTAAAATTTAACTCTAAACTTCATTGTTGTTGTAATTTGTAATATTTTTCATTCTTACGCTAAATCTAAGGAGCCCTGGTGGCCCAGTAGTTAAGCACTAGGTTGCTAACCAAAAGGTCGACAGTTTGAACCACCAGCCGCTTTACAGGAGCAGAGAACTGACATCTGCTCCTGTAAAGACTTACAGCCTTAGAAACCCTATGGGGCAGTTCTACTCTGTCCTGTAGGGTCACTGTGAGTCAGAGTCGACTCAACAGCACACAACAACAACAACATCCTAAATCTAGATGCTCAGACATTCTTGGAATCTTTTCGTTTTTTTCTCTAATGGAATTGTAAAATACTAGGGCAGGGGGGACCCTGGTGGTTTTATAGTTCAAAGTTCTTAATCCAAGAGATGAAGATGTACTTCAGCCTGTCTGAAGTCTCTGAAATTAATTATATGCAGAATTTCGTATTTGTGATTTTCCTCGTTTTCATCAGATGCTGTAAAAAGTTCATGACTCTTACTGACCTGGTTCATTTACCCTTTAAGTACTTGAAGATAATTATGCCTCTTTTAAATTTAATGCTAAGCCCCTCTCCCTTTTAATAGTTCATTGTGTGTTAATGGTTTCTTCCATCCTCACTAAACTGGTTAACATTTTCTATTCCCTTCTCTAGACTTACCCTTGGACCCCAGGATAGACCCTTTTGTCTAGCTTTAAAAAAAACAAACCCGTGGCCATCGAGTCGATTCCCACTCATAGTGACCCTATAGGACAGAGTAGAACTGCCCCATAGAGTTTCCAAGGAGCGGCTGGTGAATTCAAACTGCCAGCCTTTTGGTTAGCAGCCGAGCTCTTAACCACTGTGCCAGGGCTGCTTTGTCTAGCTAGTACTTCTTATATTTTAATGGGTATACAGGTTACCTGGTAATCTTGTTAAAATGTAGATTCTGATTCAGTAAGTTTGGAAAGGGTCCTAAGATTCTGAATTTCTAACAAGTTTCCAGGTGATTCTGTTGCTAGACCACAGTTCATAGAGCTAGACTATATATACCTCGAGGTGAGAGATTTTTGTCTTATTTATTTCTGTACTCTAGTGCCTATCAGTGAGTGATACACAGAGCTCAGTAAATATTTCCCTTTTCACATCTACTGATTAATTCACCGGTTCATTCTTTCATTTAACCAAAAAACTATAAATGCCAAGTATTTGTTAGACACTAAACAATTTACTGCGAATACAAAGATGAGTAAATTTAAGTCCTACCTTCCTTAAACATTCCTGTAGTCTTGTTTGGGATACAAAGGGATTAGATTTAGTCACGTTGACCTTGAGATGCTAGCACATAATATGATGCTCAAAGATCAATGTAGAACTTGAGGGACATGTTGAATTCAAAGTGATAGGTACATAAAAGCACAGTTGTCTTGTAGGCAAAGAAATGTGGCTTTGGAGCTTAGATAATAGAGCTAGAGATATTAAAAAACCATTTTGTAAACAGCAGAGCACTGAAAAAAAAAATTAACTGTTGCTATAACTATTTTGAGTAGTTAAACATAAGGAAAGAAAATAATCAGAGGGAGTCTTACCTATTTTGTCATTTAATCATAACAGTGCTGTTATATAAGTGATTTATGTGTTTGTTTTGCTGCTTTGACAATATTTAAAAACCATGTGAGGTTTTAGATTTTTTTTTGTCTAGTACTATAAGCATATAATCTGATATTCCAAGAACAGTTTATAAAAACCACAGGTTAACAAAATAATACTGCTTAAGTTTTTTTCTTTTATGATGTGTTGCAATTGGATGTTTATTATACAGTCTTTAAATAGAAAAAAAAAAATTGGAAACACCCTGTATGACCAAGAAAATGGTTTAAAGATTGAGTTACTATTTGAAGCAGTATTTAGAAAGAATTACAGTATTTTAATAACATGGAAAAATACTCTTAAGGGAAAAAAACTTAAAAAATTCCATATTTTATGATCTCAGCCACATTAAAATGAGCAGATAAAAAGAGTAGAAGAAGATATATTATGTGATCTCTGAGATTATAGATTTGGGTATTTGGGGTTATAGATTTATTTTCCCAGTTTACTATAATAAACATATATAACTTCCATAAAAAGGATTTTTTATGAGACACATTTCACAGAAATGGCAACAAAATGATCTGTGGTTGTAGAAGGCTTTCTCACTCAGCAGTGTGAATTACCAAAGTTTTACTGTGCGCCGTATTTCTGTACAATCGTCTTTTCTGCCAGCAATTAGAGCAGTGCCGCATAAACAGGTGTGTTCATCAGAATTGTTCATGGAGCTTTTAAAAATAACATACTTCAGCTCTATCCCCCAGAGTCTGATTTGAGAAGATCAAGAATAGGACCAACATCCTTATTTTTTAATGGCTCCACCAACAATGATTGTCGTCAAGTCAGTTCTGATTCGTGGTGACCACATGTGTGTCAGAGTAGAACTGTGCTCCGTAACATTTTCAATGGCTGATTTTTTGCATGTAGATCACCAGGTCTTTCTTCTGAGGTACTTCTGGGTAGACTTGAACCTCCAGCCTTTCAGTTAGCAGCCAAATATGTTAACCATTTGTACCACCCAGGGACTCCACAGTTGATTTAAATATGCACCCCAGCTGAGAATGATGTCTATAAGCAAAAGCTGTTTTGCATACTTATCTTGCACTCAGTAGTACCAAATATCAACTTCTGAACTAACATTTTCAAACCTTCACTTGCATTTAGTTGTTAAGGTTAAGAGGAAGGCAGCATATTTGAGTCACAGAAAATAAATCTAAATGTAGATACTGCACCTTGTTTAAAAACTAGTTAGAAACAAATCGCATAAAAGATTCAAGTAATTAATATTCTGTCATTCTAATTCATTATGTTTTTGGTTTTATCTTTTTCTTCCTAGTGAATGGAGTGCCATAGAAAAAGAAATGGGTGATGGACTACAGAGTGCTGGTCACCATATGGATGTGTAAGTACCTGGAGAATTTAATGAAAAACCTGATGTGAAGTTTGGTGGTGAAATAATGGTAACTCTTCAATACTTGTAGAAAAAAGCATTGGACAGATTTCAACACCCAGTCATAAAAATTCATTGAACTAGGAATAAAAGGGAATTTCCTCATAGCTAATATCATACTTAGTAGTGAAGTATTGAAACGTTCTCCCTAAGCTCAAGAACAAGGCAAGGTTGTCTGCTCTCGCCACTTCTATTGAAGATTGTACTGGAGGTTCTAGTCAGTGCAGTGAGGCAAGAAAATTAAATACAAGGCATAAATATTAGAAAAGAAGTAAACCATCTTTACTTGCAGTCAACAGGATCATTTACATAGAAAATCATAAGGGATCACCAGAAACACTATAGAACTAACAAATTTAAGATTGCAAGATACAATGTCATTATATACAAATCAATTGTTCTTATATACTAAGAACACGTGGGAAAGAAAATGAAATTTAAGAAACAATATTTACAATAGCATTAAAAGCATAATACTTAGGGATTTATTTAATGAAAGATACGAAAGGCCTTTACACTAAAAACTGTATAAAACATTACTAAGAGAAATTAAAGAAGACCTAAATAAATGGAAAAATAAACCATGTTTGTGGATTGGAAGACTCAGTATTGTTCAGATGTACATTCTCGCAAAATTGATTGTAGAATCAATGCAGTTCCAATCAGAATTCCAGTAGGCTTTTTAAAGTATAAATTGGTAAACTAATTCTAAAATTTATGTGGAAATACAAAGAACCTAGAGTAGCCAAACCAAGCTTGGGGAAAAAAAAACAAAACTAGAATATACTACCTAATTTCAAGCCTTACTAAAGTAATGATAAAGATAATGGAATAGAATAGAGTCAAGAAATAGACCCACACTTATATTACCATATTTTTACACATGTAACATGAGCTTTCTATGTTTGTTTGCCAACCGCACCCTCCTCCCATGAGGTATTTTCATCAGTGCGCTGTGGTGATTTTCTTTAACAAATGGAGAACGGGTGTGTTATTTGCGTAAAAATACAGTAGTCCATTTCAACAAATGGTGCTGTGAAAAGATGCATAACGTCAGTCATCAGGGGACTGCAAATTGAGACCATAACAAGATACTATTTCACAGATACTAGAATGGCTAAAATTAGGAAAACTTGAGAATAGTGAATATTGGTAAGGATATGCATCAACTGAAACTCTCCGCATGGCTGATGGAAGTGTAAATGGTATAACAAAAAAAACCCATTGCTGTCGAGTCGGTTCCGACTGATAGCGACGCTATAGGACAGAGTAGAACTGCCCCATAGGGTGTCCAAGGAGTGGCTGGTGGATTCAAACTGCCGACCTTTTGGTTAGCAGCCTTAGCACACCGTAGCCCTCAATCACTGCACCACTTTGAAAAACCGTTTGCCAGTTTCTTCTAAAGTAAACATACACCAGCATTCTGTGCCTAGGTATTTATCCAAGAGAAATGAAAATACACGCTCCCTCCCAAAAAAAAAAAAAAAAAAAAAACTTGTAGAAGATTGTTTATAGCCACTTTATTTTTAACAGATCCAAACAGAAAAGAACCAAAATGTTTATCAGTAACAGAATGGATAAACAAATTGTGGGCATGTTCAGAGAATATTCAGCAGTAAAATGAAATCACCTATTAATAGACACAACAAAAAGGATGAATCTTGAAAACAAGTTGAGCAAAAAGAAACCAGACACTGAAGATTACATTTTATATAATTCCATTTATATGACGTTGAAGAACAGACAAAACTAATCTATGGCAATAGAAATCAGAAGTCACGTTCACGGAGTGGGGAGTGACTGGCAGAGGAGAGGAGGGAACTTTACGGGGAGCTGATATTGTTCTGTATCTCGACTGGGGTCAGGTGATGCACAACACCCATCTTTATTCTAAGATCTGGGCATGTCACTGTGTACAGTTTTTACCGCAGTAAGTAATTTAAAAATTAAAAATTGCCAGTGAGCATTATTCAGTTTTGTAAACACATATCGAATGCCTGCTGTATCAAGTGCATATGGATACTCAAATGTTAGCCCACAGACTAATGACCGCAGTGCTATCTGAAGCATCCCACTGGCTAGCTTTTTGGAAAAAAAAGCAGAAGCTGGGTCCGTGTTTTATGCCAAACTAGAATTATTTCCAGATGGATCAAAGATATGTAAAGAGACAAAAAAAAAAACGAAGCCACAAAAGTACTTTGGAACAAAAAGGTGAATTAAAAAACCAGAAAGGAATAGGAAAGAGTTGCCTAAGCATCACACAACCCAGAGGCCACGAGAGAGAAGAAAATGTTTCCTGTGGAAAAAACAGCACAAAGAAAGTGATCTTCAAGGGCTCTTAGTCCAGCCACCTGTGTGATGCAGAATCCACTTGATGGCATCTATGCCAGGTGATCGTCCAGCCTGTCTTTGAACGCAGAATCCTTACGAGGGAGAGCAAGTCAGAGAAAGAACAGAAAAGAACTGGTTCAGAGTCACATAGCTAACAGCAGCAGAGCAGGGAGCAAGTCATCATTCCTAGTGCAGCATGGTTCTTTGTTTTTCTCTGTAGCGATTCAGAGCTAGGAACGTATCCTGGGGAAGGCTTCGGGGCAGTTTTAAATGTAAGAGATACAGATTGATTTAGAAACCTGCGAGCTACTCACATCAGGAAGGAAAGCTAGGATAAGATTTACCAGTGACTGACAAGCCATTAAAAGTTAGCAAGCAGATGTGAATTTATAGATTTAGGAATGTACACAAAACTCAGCTTTCGTTTCTTTATCCCACTACTAGTTTCCTAGATCTCCTCCACTCCGTTATGTCTTTCTTCAGATGGGTGATCAGAGTGGATAAATGTTCCAGCGTGACACTGTGTGGTTTTGTACAAAAGTGAAATAACAATTACTACTTTAAAAAAATACTCCTTTGGACAATATCTAGAATTTTGTGGACTGTTTGGGTCTCAGCAACATACTGGACTGTTAACAGTGGCTCTTGTGTCCCTTTGTTAACTTCTAGCTTTTAGCCTAGAAGGCATCCAGTCAACATTTGGGGACATTATTTTATCTGAATACTACTTTTCATTAGGCCATATTCAAGCTAACTGACTGTTTTTTCAGGTAGCTTGTTTAACCCTGAGAAGTCTTCCCTGCATTTTGGTGGTTTAGTATTTCTATATCTGTAAGAATTTAGAATTGTCCCTTCCAGTTGATTAATTAAAGTGTTAGATTATTCTCAGCACTGATAATCTGAAAGTCTGTCATTTATACTTCTGCACCCAAGGAGGTGCCAGTGTATCTTTGCTTCCTATCTTCAAGCCACCAGCCCTGTGGTTTCTCTTTTTCGTTTGTTTTCTTAGCATTAACTCTTCCAGAATCATAGATTTATGAGCCATTGGCAGTTTTTCCTGCTCTTAACAGTGATTGTCAAGACGTTTGTCAGTGGTTAACATAACACATAGAAGACATTCCCTACTGTAACAGATGTAAGTCTGTAATTACAGAATATGTACTTTGCATCCCTTTATAAATCCTGCAAGCACATCACTTTGTAAATGAACCTTATTAGGTTTATTTATTTTTACAACTTCAGTAAACTTTGTTTACTTGCCTATATGAAGCAAGGCTGGAGACATAAAACATACATTTTTCTTTTATTCCCATGCCAAGAGATCGGAATGAGTTTGAAAGAGGGATGCCTGTTACGCCGTACAGAAGCAAGCACGTGATGTAGCCCACATCCTTACGGAATTTACAGTGTGATCAGAGAAGTGAAACCAGCACACAAAACACTACTTTTCTAAAATTTGTTCTACATTGTTGATAAGAAATCAGAAGTAGAGTGATGAATAAGGACTAAAATAAAATAGTCTGAGACAACTTCACAGAGGTGTTGAGGTAGGCGCTGGGTGGATTTGGAGAAGCAGTGTGGACGGCAGTCACACTGCTGTGCAAGTGAAGACTCAGGTGCACGAAGGAGCATGGCATGCTGACAAGGGGGCTGTCCTCATCAAGCAGAGGCTGCTGCTGAGAATTCGTGTAAGGGAAGGCCCCTAAAATCTTCTGTAATCTGTACTTGCCCTACTTTTCCTTTTATAGCTTTTTGGCATTGCTGTAAATAGTTGCTGTCAGGAACGTGGGTACACCAGTTATATTCTTCTATTTAACTTCTGTTCTTTCCACAGATTTTATTGCCCTTTTATAATATCTTTGACCAGAAAATATTACAGTTTTACAGTGTTTCTTAAGCTACCTGTGAGGAGGACCGTTTTTTGTTTTGTTTTTTATTTCCAAACCATTGCTGACCAAAGCTTTTTGATAGAATTCAGTAACTTTTTCACGGTAATTGCAAATGGCTGTAAATGTTTATAAATGCTTATTCTTTTCTGTATACTTTGTCACTGATGGGTAACCATCTGTGGACCACACCTTGGAAAGCATAGCACATCTTTAGAACATTAATACTTAATATCCCAATGAAAGTTACTCTATTTATGCAATGCTTTTTAAAACAGGTATGCATCTTCTATTGATGATATTTTGGAAGATGAAGAACATTATGCAGATCAGTTAAAAGAGTATCTTTTTTATGCAGAAGCACTACGGTAAGTATAATACAAGTTCCAGATCCAGTCCAGTGGCTGATCACCACTCTCTTCATATGCTACTGTGGAATACAAGCAGTAAGGTCTCTTTTCTTTCGGTAAGTTCATTCACTCCGATATTCAATGAGGTCTCACTGTATCGCTCTCTGTGTTGCAGTGTGCTAGGCGTGGGAATTTAAGACAAGCCCTTTGAAACATTACATTGATAAGACCTGCCAGTCTCAGGCATCAGGTCTGTCTTGATGTTGTCCCTTCTACCTTTTTTCAGTTTGAAGGCTGGAAGCAAAATACACATTGAGTGTATGTAGCCCCTCACTAGGTTGTATATTGCCATTTCTATTCTGTAGTTTTTTTCACATGCCTGAGTTTCTCGGTAAGATTGTAAAACTTCCTTGATGTCAAGGAATTTGTCTTCTGTTTTTTGGTATCTCCTACAGAGCCAAACAGAATTCTCTGGTATGGAATTGTATGTGATAAAGTTTTTGCTGTCCAATTTTAAAAAATGAGTAATTTTCTTGGAATAGGTGGCTTTGGGTCCTAGCCACTTTGGGTCGGTTTTCTTGTCACTCTGAAAAGCAGTATGAGAGTTCTGTTAGTAACCAGAAGGGGCAGTATTCCTGTAGCTGTTCAGTAGCTGGTGTGAAAACATCTCTGTGTGATGTTGGCCTTTCTCCTTGGAGAGCTTTGAGTAGCAGGAAGCTCCGTCAGGGTATCTTCCAGTCACCAAGCAAAACAAAGTTGCTATTCCCAGTGGAATTCTGTACAGCTCTTAAAAATTATAAACAGTGTTAATGTGTATCAACATGGCATAAAGTTAAGTGAGACTTGGGGTGTGTGTATTTGTAAATTCCTTGTTAAAGTCTGGACAGATACATGCCATCTGTTAACACAGCTTATGTCTGGGGAGTGGTATTAGGCAAAAGAAAGAGTTTTGGAAACTTTCTTTTCTTTTGTGCATTCCCGTATTAGAATCTTTTTTTTTTTTTTTTACAGTGAGCATCAATTATGTAATAGTAAAAACTGATAGACATTTCTAAATGAAGAAGAAAGCTTTGAGACATTATTCTTTCAACAGATACTCAGTTCTGAGATTATAGCGTTAGTTCCTATGTCAGAAAAATATTTTACGTATGTGCTAACGGTACAGTAGTCACCCCTTATCTGCAGGGGATACATTCCAAGAACCCTGGTGGATGCCTGAAACCGTGGATAGTACCAAACCCTGTAGATACTGTGTTTTGTTCTATACATATATACCTATAATAAAGTTTAATTTATAAATTAGACACAGCAAGAGATTAGCAATAATAACTAATAATAAAATAGAATAGTTAAAACAATATACTGTAATGAATCTTACGTGAATGATGGAATGCAATAGCTCGAGAGTTCATCATGTTATGTACTCATTTAACATTTTCATACCATGGTTGACCGAGGGTAACTGAAACCATGGAAAGTGAAACCGTGGATGAAGGGGGATTACTGTGTATTTATTTTTAAGTATAAAGTGAATGTTCTCAATCCCATCCAAAAAAAAAATTTATACATGTTTAAAGAGAAGCCAAAAAATTAAATGGCAGCACGTTTTTTCATCCCTAGGGCTGTGTGTAGGAAACATGAACTTATGCAGTATGATTTGGAGATGGCTGCACAGGACTTAGCATCCAAGAAGCAGCAATGTGAGGAATTGGCAACTGGGGTGAGTGTTTTTCCATTTAGCTCTTCAGGTCTCTGGTACTATTATAGCAAACCTTAATGTGGAATGTGATGCAGTTATAATACTCAGGATGCCAGTAGCTTTTGCAAGGAAATAATTTGTGAGTGGCTTTATAATTCTTTGGGTTGCGATCTTGGTATAAAAAGATGTAAGCTATTAAAACCTTGAACTATATAGTATTGTAAGAAATTTCGCCAACATCGCTCTGTGTAATGAATGCTATCTAAATTCTGATTACGTCCAAGTGAAAAAACATTCTTCTCTGGGATTGAGATAATGAGCCCTGTAAGGTTTAATTTTGCGAGGTATTGTGTAGCAGATTTTGTTTACTTTGAAAAGCCTTTGCCAATTAGATCAGGGCATGTCTCCTAACAAGGAGCTTTTTGTGCTTGATTCTTTAGTGCCTGTGGTGAGTACTTGTGAAGAAAGTCCGCATCTTATTGCATGAGACTTAGATCTTTTTATAATCAGCCTCATACTGTCCAGCTCTTCCACTGGAATAAATTAGCTGTCCTGGTGAGAGCATACATTCCGGAAGTAGTGAAGCAGTGATTGTGCCACCATGTCTTTATCCATAACTTCACAGTTAAAAAGTGCTTTAAGGGTCTTGTGGGACAACTTAGTCAGTTGGCATAACATAGTTCATAAAGATACTGTTCTACACCCTAGTTTGGTGAGTAGCGTCTAGGGTCTTAGAAGCTTGCGAGTAGCCATCTAAGATTCAGCTATTGGTCCGTACTCATCTGGAGCAAGAGAGAAAGAAGGAAACCGAGACTCAAAGAAAGTAGTCTACAGGACTAATAGCCCACATGAACCACGGCCTCTTCTAACCTTAGACAAGAAGAACTAGATGATGCCTGGCTGCCGCTGCCAACTGTTCTGACCAGGGACACAATCGAAGGTCCCAGGTAGAATGGGAGAAAAACATAGAACAAAATTCAAATCCCTTAAAAAAGGCCAGACCTACTGGACCAATAGAGACTAGCGGAACCCCTGAGACTATCGCCTTAAGATACCCTTTGAACTTGGAACTGAAGCTACTCCTGGAGGTCACCTTTCAACCAAATAGATTGGCTTATAAAACAAACAGTATCACCCGTGAGTAATGTGCTCCCTTTAACAATCAATTCTATGAGACCAAACAGTCCACATTTGCCCAAGCGAAGATGAGAAGGCAAGGAGTGGAAGGGAAGCTAGATCACTGGAAACAGAGCAGACAGAATAGAAATAGTGAGAACGCTACATGTTGTGAAAACTGTAACCAACATCACAGAACGATCTGTATAAAGATTGTTAAAGGGGAACCTAATTTGCTGTGTAAACTTTCACCTAAAACACAATTTAAAAAAATTTTTTTTAAAGTGCTTTAGGAGGGAAACGGAGTTGTTACTTAAGGGATACCACGTTTCTGTCAAGGGTGATGAAAAAAATTGGAAATAGATAGTGGTGATGGTTGTACAACATGTGAGTGTAATTCATGTCACCGAATTGCATATGTAAATAGTTGAAATGGCAAGTGTTCAGTGCTTTAGATTCTAAAGTGCTTTTTCCATAGTCTCAGCACTTCCTACATCCATGAAAAGTCATGTATCTTGGAAAACACCTGTGACCGTGAAACATGTATAGACTGGCCCCTGATTTATTTTAAAACTCAGAGGAGATTCTCAGGCCATATTCTGGGAGCTTGGTTCTCTACTTCTACACATGAAGAGAGAGAAGTGTTTCCCTTGATAAACTCCAGAGAGTGTGGAAATGTTAAAGCAACGAAGCTTGAGCCTATCCTGCAGTGCTAGGCTTGAGGCATCCTGTTTTAGTAATAGATGCCCAAGTTTCAGTACAGATTCTATACAGATTTTAAATATGCTTCTTTAGTTTTGGTTTATTTCCATAGCTGCCTATTGAATTTTATGTATTTTTTATGTCATAGAGTAATTAAACAAACATGACCACCAGTATAAAGTAAGAAATAACTTGCCCAATACTTTACTTGGAACTTTTCCATTCAGTTAAGAAGTTCGGTTTGAAGCTAGCAAGCGGCCATCTAAGGTGCATCAATGGTCCCAACCCACCTGGAGCAAAGGAGAATGAAGAACACTAAAGACACAAGGAAAATATTAGCCCAAGAGGCAGAAAGGGCCACATAAACCAGAGACTGCATCAGCCTGAGACCAGAAGAACTAGATGGTGCTCAGCTACCACCAGTGACCACCCTGACAGGGAACACAACAGAGGGTCCCTGATGGAGCAGGAGAAGAGTAGGGTACATAACTCAAATTCTAGTAAAAAGACCAGACTTAATGGTCTAACTGGGACTGGAGGGACCCTGGAAGACATGGCCCCCAGACTCTCTGTTAGCCCAAAACTAAAACCATTCCCGAAGCCAAATCTTCTGACAAAGATTAGACTGGACTATAAGACATTAAATGATACTCATGAAGAGTGCTTCTTAGCTCAAGTAGATACATGAGACTAAATGGGCAGCTCCTGTCTGGAGGCGAGATGAGAAGGCAGAAAGGGACAGGAGCTGGTTGAACGGACACGGGAAATCCAGGGTGGAAAGGGAGAGTGTGCCGTCACAGTATGGGGAGCGCAACTAGGGTCACATAGCAGTGTATGTATAAAGTTTTGTATGAGAAAGTAACTTGAACTGTAAACTTTTATTTAAAACCTAAAAAAAACCACTTCGGTTTGAATTGTTTTCCCTTTTTGACTCTTCCATATTATTTCAGTGTTAGAAACGGTGTTAGGAATCCCTTGGTGGTAAGGCTTTTGGTACTGCTGTCTGAACTGGGGGAAAATGTCACATGTTTTCTCTTCCCTCTTAGACTGTGAGAACATTCTCTTTGAAGGGAATGACTACCAAGCTCTTTGGTCAAGAAACTCCAGAGCAGAAAGAAGCCAGAATAAAGGTGCTAGAAGAACAAATAAATGAAGGAGAACAACAGCTAAAATCTAAAAATCTGGAAGGCAGGTAAAAATGCTGAGATGTTTAACAAAGAGTTTCCTTTCATAATTACGTTATTTTCCTATACTTCTCATGATTTCTGTCCTTTGCACGTTTCCTCTGCCCTGTTTTCTTCCTCATTAAAGAAAGCCTGATCATTCTCGATGGCAAAACCTCTTATCCTCTCAGGCGACCATAGTGGTTGGTTGTTCTTTGTGACTGTATCCCTGGCTAAATTATGAGCTCTTCAGAGTCAGTGACCATGTCTTTTTTATCTTTTTTGTCCCAAAATCTTACATAGGGTTGGCATCAGCACAAATATTTGTAGAAATTTGGTTCTCAAAGATCTGTTTTCCTTATTGTTGTTTTCACCTGACAGTCAGTGAGTAGGCCAAGGCAGATTGAGAGTGTGTCATTAGTATTTGAGGTGGTTTTGTTAATTTTTAGAGCCATTGGCAGCCAGTAAGTCAAAGTAAATTTTCACAAATAGAGGTTAAAAGATCAATGCTTCTAGAATTTTTAGAACTCTAGCCGCCATTTAAAAGAAGTACTTGATAAATAAACGTGATTCATAATCTGTTTTGTCATAAAGATACATGTTTTCCTATGCCCAGGAAGGCATTTCATGCGGTATCTATTAGGCTTATGAACTGGTTCAAAGAGGCATCTGCATCTGTTTTATAGGAATAATTTAAATGTAGAGTCCTTGTGACAAAAATATAAATTACTAAAATGTAGAAGACTTACTGTTTGTCTGCTTCATTTTCCCCACTATAATTTTTAGGAGGAGTAAAAGAACTGTCTTACATAAACAGTAGCTTTGCTTTGTATGAAGACAATTAAAAACCAGCTCAAATGAGAAGTAGTTACTTGAATTTATAATACACAGTTTACTTAATTTAAATAAGAATAATAATGACTATACCTTTTCTTTCAGAGAATTTGTGAAAAATGCTTGGGCTGATATTGAACGCTTCAAAGAACAAAAGAACCGTGATTTAAAGGAGGCCCTCATTAGCTATGCAGTCATGCAGATCAGTATGTGCAAAAAGGTAGGTTTGGTTTCAGTGAAGATATAGGTATATTTGTAAGTGTTAACACATTTCTTTAAGACTAAATTCTCTTATCTGGACCAAAGAATTCATGATTTGCATTTTTAAAGCCCATTCTTCTCCCCTTCCTGAATGTTTCTCAACTTCTCTACTGAATTTTGAAAGAAGTGTTACAACCAAAATGTCAGTTACTGAGTCTCCACTCATCTAAAGTTCCAAGTTTGTGTGCCCCATTGAAAACTTGTATTTGAAAATATATACCAACAACATTACCTTGATAATATGATATTCTTGGACAAGGCAGTAAAGTAGCATTTCTGATACTGATGGGTATACTTTGACTGAGAAATAGCATAATCATTATTTTGGGGAAATGTGGTTATGATACAGTTTGTTTCGACAGTAAAGCCTTCATGTAGATAATAACCACCTATAGTGAAAGATGTGAAAATTAAAGCTTATTCTTGCGAAGATAAGTGTTTTGACGATGGTGGAAGTCTTTCTAAAAGATTTCTTTAATAAGAAAATATAGAATATTTATTGCTCTGACTGGGATTACAACAGAGGATCTTGGGACAGAGCCGGGGGGAAAATGTACAACAAAAGATCAAATTCACGAAAAAGACCAGACTTACTGGTCTGATGGAGACTGGAGGAACCCCCTTGCGAGACTATAGCCCCTGGACACCCTTCTAACTCAGAACTGAAGCCACTCCCGAAGTTCACCTTTCAGCCAAAGATTAGGCAGGCCTATAAAACACGTGAGGAACGTGTCCCTTAGATCAATCAAGTATACAAGACAAAATGGGCAACACCTGACCAAAAAAAAAAGAAAAGATGAGAAGGTGGGAAGGGACAGGAAAACTAGATGAATGTAACCGGGGAACTCAGGGTGGAAAGGGAAAGGGGGAGAGTGCTGACGTAATGCAGGGATTGCAACCAATGTCATGAAGCAATTTGTGTATAAATTTTTGAATGAGAAGCTGATTTGCTCTGTGAACTTTCACCCAAAGCACAATAAATAGATAGCTAGAAAAAAAAAAAACTCTTAACCTCTTTTTCATAACCCAGCATCTGCCTGTGTGGACTACCAGGTGGTACCGGTACTTTACATTTGTTTAGCACTTCATAATTTTTCAAGCAATTTAACACACATCATCTCCCTAAATTATATAGTGAGAAGAATTCCCATACTTATAAAGACCTCCTTAGGGGAAAAAAAATCACAGTCCTATAAACACATATACCCCTTTTATGCCTTAATCTATTCTGAAGTTTTATTTTCTAGCTAAGCCATCACGTGCCTAGACCTTTTCACTTATATCATCGGCACTAGCAGCAGAGAACAAAGGTATTTTGACATGTAAACACCAAGCTTAGTCACTAGCTAAATGGCTTTCTCTTGGTGGAGGTAAATTCATGTTTGTACCTCGCAGAACCCTAAGTGAATGCACATTGTCAACCTTTTGAGTCACTTAAGAGAAGTTAAAATCTGCAAATGCAAAAGTTGTGGGTATTGTGGTTTGGTGGTATTTGTGTCCCTGTTGCTGTCTCCTGTCAACTCCCACTTCTTGCCTGCTGCTGGGGTGCTTGACATTTATAGTCTTCTTTCCAAGCGGCCTTTTTTAATCTCTGCTGGTCTGAGAGATCAGATAACAAAGGTGTTTGGAGTTGGGTTTTTCATATAAAAGACTTATTAAAAAGGTCTTTGTGATCTCCCACTCCTTTTACAAAGTAAAAATGCAGGACCTTTTATATAAAGGCTCCAAAGGCCTTTTTCTCCCCTTTGTTTAGGGTAGGGTGACTGAGGGTGCTAGAAATTGAATCACTGAATAAACAAGCTATCAATCACTATAGATGTATTTGGACATACTTTTGTCTACCTTACTTCCCGAGGACAGTACTATGAAGTTTCCGCACGTTTCGTTTTCTTAGCTAACTGTACTAGATTTTTATATTTGACAATCTACAGTGTCCTTTTCTTTAGAAACCTAAAGTTAAGTACCAGAAGTCAAGATTAATGTTCGTTTTTCTGGGATAAATGTTTTGTATATTTCTTCTGGTATTAACTTTCATAATGTCTCATGCTTCATTTTAATGTCAGCTATTCAAAGAGTTAATTGAATATGATCAAATTACTAAATTACGGTAGTAATAAACCAAACCAAAAAAAAAGTAATCAAAAGTATTAATATTGGCATTTAAAAATCAAATAGCATTTCTGAGTGTTTATTTTATTATTATTATTTTTAGATCAATCTTCTTGATAGTGAATTGTCTAATTTGTTGAACCAAGCAGGTTCAGTTTCTGCTGAGACTTAAAATATTTAATGGATTTTTAAGCTACTTTATCTCTCTGGATTTAAAAAATTTATTATTATTATAAAAATAACAGATACATTCATTGCAGAAATTCCAAATAATCCAGAAGCATTATATTAAGGAAAAAGTCTCCCTAAAATCCTCCTTTGAAAGTTCATTGTTACAACTTTGTGTATATCCTCCCAGACTTTTTTGTATGTGTACAACCATTTAGATATATAAACGATATACTTTTCTCCACATAAGCAGGATTGCATTATATAAACTATTGTGTAGTTTTTGTTTTTTCACTTGATGTATCATAAACATCTCACTGTGATGGGGCCTAAGATCTATCTTCTCCTAACAACTGAATAACACTCCATTAGATACTACTTTATCCAGCCAATCTGAAACATTTTTAAGGATTTTTTTTTTTTCTTTCCTTTTGTATTCTGGCAGGGAGGAAAGAAACTAAAAGGATTCTTGAATTTTCTTCTATTGTTTGATGCCTCAATAGATATTGACACACTTTGATGCTTAAGTATTAAAGAAAAAGTTCTTTTTCTGTAAATTAGCCGTCATTGGAAAATATGTATCTTGTTTATCGGGGGAAAAAAAGCATTGTTTCTACCACTTCCTTAGGTTTTACTGTTGCATCTTTACAAACATGCATTTTTATTTAAGCATATTCGGCCATCTGTATAGCTTTTTGCTAAGTAGACTTGCCAGAACCACTGAGAGAGATTCAGTAATTTAGTACATAATTATTTTTATCAAAAAGTTTAGTTACTAGACTAATCTTTTAATAACTCATTAATTTGTATTTAATTACTAGACTTATAAATAAAGTTGTTGTTTTGGTTTGTTTGTAATATTACACAGAGAAACTGCCTGAAAACTTGTTTGGTTTACAAATAGAAATGAGTATGTCGTATGAGTAAATGAGTTTGTTATATGAACCTTGTAAATTTACTTTTCCAAGTAGAAGTTTCTCCATTTTGAAGATAGGCTCACACAAGGATTGTCTTACTTTTCAGAAGCATTAGACAGTAGCTTATATTAGCCATTGCTAGAAATAATGTCCGATTTGCTGGACTTCTTGTTAATTATTCCAAAATGCAGAACTTAGCATATCAGTAAGCCAGCTACTTTGGTTTTCAGAGTCCTTCCAGAATCACATTTTAAAGTTCCTTTTTTTTTTTTTTTTTAGGGAATTCAAGTTTGGACCAATGCTAAGGAATGTTTTAGCAAGATGTAATCCTGTGAAATGAATTTCTCTTCAGTCAAAGTATCCCAAAACAAAAGCACAAGTAAATAAAAGAAATTTAAGTTGCCACCCAGTGTACACAAAAAATGTACAATAAGTTCAGTAAAGTCAACTTCCTTTAACCTGACTGTAGTTGTGTTAATATAGCACAAAAAGGATGTATTTTAATGAAGATTAATATTATGATTGAGGTTTTGGGGACGGGTGCTGATTCCAAAAAGTTAATTTGATAATATACACCAACAGATTGTTTATCGGGCTTCTGAACCAATGACTGGATGTCAGTATGTTAGCTAATTTCTGGATGCTCGTTTCAACGCCAGCTGTTTCAGATCTGTAATACAGGGATTTTTTTTCCTAAGATTGAATTCCAGTCTTTACCAATATGTTATAAGGGGTTATTTTTCTTGCCTTGTAGAGCCATTTGGTTTGACAAAGCTCAGCAGAAACTTAGTGTGAAATCTAAGATTTTCTCCCACATTCATTGATGCCCCCTGTAATATTTGCATACACTAGAAAATGCCTTCAATTTGTGTTTTACCAGAATTTTGATACTGGTCAAAAATTTTATACTGCCAGCAAAGAAGACTCAACTTCTCAGATATATAGTGGAATACATTGTTATGATCCAGAAATCACTAAATAGAATGTTTTAATTGAGTATGTTATGTCTAAGAATTAAATTCTTCTAAAAAAATTCTTAACCTCGGTGATGAGCCTAACTTTACTCTGCTTGGCTCTCTCCACATGGCATTTCAGGGTACGAGATGTAGCATTTCAGTGTATAAGATGTATGTAATAAACGATATATGTTAGTATCTTCATTATTAACATCCTTCTTTTCTATTGCTTGGCTGTAGTTTTTGTAAAAATAAATTATATTGTTTTTTTTTTTTTACGTGTGTGTGTGTTTTCATGCTGTATGTTCAGAAGCCAAGCATCCTTATTTTGCGAGCTTTGCAGAATCTTAAATGTGTACTCGTTGTTTCTAATTATGTAAAAAAACCAGTTTAGCATTTGACTTTTTTACATGTTTAAAATGTTACTGGATTTTTGTGCTGTTTGCCAAACATACAATAAATAAATGATTATGCTGATTTTTATGATTCTTATTTTAGCTTGATGAGCCATACATATTAGTATCTGATGCTCTGTGAGAAAATACATGCCATATTACGTTTCTTTTTTTTTTAAATGAAATCCAAGGATGTAAATAGCATCTGTTGTTATTTTCTAGAAGCTAGTATGTTTTAAAAGGAGCACGGGTGGCACAGTGGTTAAAGCGCTCGGCTGTTATCCAAAAGGTTGGCAGTTCGAATCCACCAGGCACTCCTTGGAAACTCTATGGGGCAGTTCTGCTCTGTCCTATAGGGTCGCTATGAGTCAGAATTGACTCGATGGCAACGGGTTTGGTTTTTGGTTTGGTTTGTTGTTACCAATGTTTTAAAATGATGAATTTTTAAAAAATAATATTATTGTCTCCAAAATACACAAATATACCCTTGGCTATATGTATATTTAACTAGGAAGATCTTGACTTGGGTGGATTTTGAAAATTGGACACCAAAAGATGTCATTGAGTAGCTTAGGATAAAAATTTAGGAATATATTTTTACTCTTTAAGTTAAAAAAAGTCTCATTTGATAGCACAATTATTTCTTTAAGAAAACTCTTAAAGGAGTTTTATGATGGAAAACATTTTTGCTTCTGTTAAGAGTAAGTATATAGAAGTAAGCTGTCTGCAATAACCCTTTTCACTGTTTAAAAATCTGAAATCAAAATGAATTAAAGGATAGGTTAATTCTCCCAAGATAAATATAAAAAATAATATAAGTAATATTACAAAGAAAAATGACTTGTTAAATTAATGTAAATACTTAGAGGAAGATTTTTTCTTGACGTTGTAACAGTGATACAGTTGGTATAGCCCAGAGTTAAATAGGGTAGTCAAAGCATTAATATTAGCTAAAGTCATATTTAAACCTTCGTTTACATCCAAAAATTTGAGTGTGGATGCATGAGTCACTGGTAATTACAACATAGCATCCAAAACAGGAACTGAGGGTTCTTAAAATTCAAGCATCTTTAGAATAAACAGAGATACCCAGCTTTGAATAGAAAGAAAAATCATTATGTACCAGGAATACTAAGCTTTTTATATCTTTATAATCTTTCTTTTGATTCATATGCATACTCAACTTCCTGGGTAGTAGTTACTGATTCTCCTAATAAGTTTTCCTTAAAAAAAGTATTAGAGATTTCTTTCAAGGTAGCCCAGAGAAATAAAATAAGTAGAATTGTACTTTCTAAATTTACAGCTTTAAATATTTTATATTTGAATGGAAGAAAGGCTTAGTTTCCTCTTGAAGAAGCGGGGGTTTGGGGGGAAATGAGCAAATTAAATCTAAAGTAGAAGAAAGGAAATATTAAAGCTAAGAGCAAAAATCAATGATACAGAAAACAGGTAAACAACAGAGCTAACAAAACCAAGAATTGGTTCTTTGAAGATTGGGGAAGTTAATAAACCACTGGCAAAGCTGGAGGAAGAAGAAAGCACAGATTATCCCTATAAGGAATGAAATAGAGGGTATTATTACAGATCCTGTAGACACCAAAGGGTAGTAAGGAAATAATATGAACAACTTTAAACCAATAAATTAGGTGAAATCAACAGATTCCTTGGAAAATACAGCTTACTAAAACTAATACAAGATGAGGTAGAAAATCTAAATAGCCTTATATCAAAGAAATTTATTATAAAAAATATTCCTACAAAGAAAACTCCAGGTTCAGATGGCTTCACTGGTGAATTCTATCAAACATTTAAGGACAAAAAAGTTTTAATTCGACAAAAACTTTCAGAAAATAGGGGTGAAGAGAACACTTCTTCTCAGCTCTTTTGAAGCCAGGATTGTCACAGTACTAAAACTGGATAAAGACATTTCAGGAAAAGAAAATGACAAATCCATATGATCATGAGCATAGATGCAAAAATCATTTAGCTGATCGAATTCAGCAATAGGTAAAAAGGATAATACATCATGACCAAGTAGAGTTTATCTCAGAATACAAGGTTGGTTTATCATTAAAAATCAATTGCTATGGACCTCCACCAGAGTTACCGCTGGCTTCACCCTACCCAGACATAGTTCACCATACAGAAATTGTTGAGTTGTTTTAGGTTTTGCTGTGTGTATTTTCAACAACAAAAATTTTTTTAAAAAAATCAATTGCTATAATCCGTCATATGAACAATAAAGGAGGTACCTCATTTAATTATTTCTATACCTACAGAAAAGCATTTGACAAAATTCAACATCGATTCCTAGAAAACTAGGAATAGAAAGGAGTTTCCTCAATCTGATAAAGTGCATCTATGAAAAACCTACATCTAACATCATACTTAATGTTGACAGGCTGAAAGCTTTCCCCCTAAGATCAGGAATAATGCAAGAACATGTGTCCCTATTTCTCCTTTTCCCTTCGATGCTGAGATTCTTTCAACTTCCACCCCAACCTCCCTCCAGCTACCTGTTTCCCCCGTTGTTCCACGGGCTCAATGCTGAGCCTTAATCTCAGAGTGTCTGTTGAAATTCTGAAGCAGATGGATACCCCTATGCTTGAAGCTCTAATAGGGCATTCACCAGGTGGACACTCCAAGGCCAGAATGTTTGGGGGATCTACTGATGAAACAGATAGTTATAAAAGTCATCCCCAGATGAAGTTGGAACTAATTGATTCAGCAGCAAAATCCCAAATAAAACATCCCTTTTCATATACCATTCAGCAGAAGACAAGGAGAAATTACTAAATATTCAGTTGCCAAGGCCTTGATTTAAAAAAAATACAGCTAACATTCATGGAATGCTTTCAATTAAGATGAAACTGAAGCAGAGTGCAAATTGATGTGGCTTGCCCAAGGCCACACAGCTAGTAACTGGTAGAGCCAGAATCTGAACCCAAGTAACAAGACCTAGCAATCTATTTCTGAAAAATCAGTCATTGGAAACTCTATGGAGCTCAGTTCTACTCTTAACACGTGGGGTTGCCATGAGTCAGAATCAACTTGATGGCAATTAGTTTAACATGGCTCCAGAGTCTATACTCTTAACTGCTGTGCTATGCTGCCTGCTTTTCTGAGGCTCTTCCCGTGTAGAGGAGCAGGAGACCTCAGGCGTCACAGACCAGAAAGAAGGAGAGCCTCTGGGACAGAGATATGAAGGTGGGAAGAATAGAAAAGGTAACTCATGCTGCTCAAATTGCAAGACATTTAACAGGAAAATGTCTTGGTGTTATGGATTGAATTGTGTCCCCCAAAAATGTGTGTCAGCTTGGCTAGGCCATGATTCCCAGTATTGCATGATTGTCCACCATTTTGTCATCTGATGTGATTTTCCTGTGTGTTGTAACCTCTATGATGTTAATGAGGCAGGATTAGAGGCAGTTATGTTAATGAGGTAGGACTAAATCTTCAAGATTAGGTTGTATCTTGAGTCAGTCTCTTTTGAGATGTAAAAGAAGGAGAGAGACAGGGGACCTCCTACCATCAAGAATGAAGAACCAGGAGGGGAGCACGTCCTTTGGACCCAGGGTCTCTGCACTGAGAAGCTCCTAGACCAGGGAAGGATTAATAAGAAGGACCTTCCCCAGAGCCAACAGAGAAAGAAAGCCTTCCCCTGAAGCTGGCACACTGAATTGGGACTTATAGCTTCCTGGACTGTGAGAGAATAAATTTCTCTTTGTTAAAACCATCCACCTGTGATATTTCTGTTAGAACAGCACTAGATGACTAAGACACTTGGCTAACACTGGGAATGGGAGCAGGAAGAGGAAGCATGATATGGAGGTAGGATATGGGGAATACTAGACCAGCTCTCCGACTTTAATGTGCTTATGAATTACTTGGGGCTCTTGTTAAAACAGATTCTGATTCAGTAGGATGGCTGGGGCCACGTTGCATTTCTAACTGGCTCCCAGGTAATTCCCATGCTCCTGGTCCACAGACCACGTTGAGTAGGGAGGTGTTAAAAAACATACAGTTTGAAAAACTACTAGCTATTAAGCTAAATGGCCTGGCCAAACTGATTACTCATTTAAGCACAATTTTTCAGCAAATATACAAAAATTTAGCAGTTATATAAAGAAAAGATAACAAAAAGGAAAGGTAGTTAAGATAATTGAAAGTTTACAAGCTTATAGCAAAAGCACGATTTAATAATGTGAGTAAATGGTTAACAATTACGCAACGCTCAAGACTGAAATTCTTAATAACAGCAAAAATAGTATTGATGATGCTTTCATCAAAACTTGTGGAAGACCTCATGCACAGCCACTGTCCATCTGTCAGTGAAGGCTTATGTGTTCCTGTGATACTCAACAGGTTTCAGCAGAGCTTCTAGACTAAGATGGACTAGGAAGAAAGTCCTGGCAATCTACTTGTGAAAATCAGCCAGTGAAAACCCTATGGATCATAGCAGAACATTGTCTGACTCACTTGCTTTGGACATATCAGCAGGAGGGTTCAGTTGCTGGAGGAGGTCATCATGTTTGGTGAAGTAGGAGGCCAGAAAGGGCAAGCGAGACCCTTGGTGAGATGGATTGGCAAAATAGCAACGATGGACTGGAGTGTACCAATGATAATGGGAATGGTGCAGGACTGAGCAGCATTTCATTCCATTGTGCTTGGGGTAGCCGTGAGTCGAGACCTGACTTCACAGCAGCTAACAACATCCCTGAAAAAATGACAGAACTCTGATGATGTCCTATCCCCAAATCCCCAAGCTTTCCAATTCACAGTCTCCCAAACTTTGGTGCTTGATGAATGTCTTTAAGGAACTGTTTCCCTCCCCCGCCCTCCGTGTTGGTTTTCTCAGCAGCAATGGTATTCTCAAGAAAACTATCTTTAGCCAACTAGTACATGGTAAAGGGCATCTTCCTTTCAAAGGGCTGTAGGACACACTACACACTAGAAGGATAACTATCAACCCAACAACAGCAGGTGGTCTTCATAGTTTAACCTTTTTTAAAAAAAAATGTCATTGTGGTGAAATACGTGTAACAAACATTTGCATTTTTGGCCATTTTTACATGTACAATT